ATGAGAAAGTGAGAGTGGCTTGGGAAGTTGAGAGATTTTTGTCTTTTTGAGGTGGCTTGTGTATAAAATTTTTGAACTGTGCCAAAAGGCAAGGAGAATCGTTTATATTGCAAAGGTGCCTCTATCCAGTAATGACTTTGACTCTGAAGCCCCAACAAAGAAAATCTAAGATCACTCAGGCTGAAGATCTTAATTGTCTTGTGTGTTTAAGTCTACATGCTTGTTGACTTAAACTCTCATCTTCTATCTTGGCGTGCTTTCAAACTGAGGATCTATGTCACCCATTCTCTTATTCTTCTTCCCACCTCAGAATTCTGAGACTGGACAAAAATAAAGTCCATGAGTGACATCTTCTCTGAGTGAATTCAGAAATGATTTGGAAAGAAGCCACAGTAATTCCAACAGTGATGAAATCCTTAGTTTCTGACAAGGAGCTACCATCTCTTTGGACTTAGTTGTATTCAAGTACATGAATTTCCCTAGACAATATTATACTCATCACAATCTCTGTCACATAGGGTTATATAGATTATGCACTGCACAAGGGAGACACACATAAGGAAGTGTTATTCACATTACACATATCATAGATTTGGTACTTAAAACAATAATAAAAACAATTTTCCAGAAGATGGCAGTAAAGTATCTTGTTCTAAAAAATATCAATACAGTTTGACAATTTTTGGCAGATGGAAATATAAGTGTCTTGAGGAAGAAATCTTGTTTTAAAATGTATACAAAGGCATGAATTTGATGGTCACTTGCTCTGGGTCCTGTATAAAATCAAATCTCTATTACTAGTGAAAGTGAATCCATGCAGTTTAATAGGTAAAGAAAAGGAAAAGGTATTATAAAAGATATATATTGAAATTCTAGCTTCCAAATGCTCTTTGTTAAAATTGTTCTTACTATCAATATATCCTATGAGATATATAGTTTAATAGAGTATAACTCAAACTTCCCTGGGATCCATGGGAGTATAGGTACAAATGTGACTGATGTAAACAGAGGAGAATCCTTCAGTCTTAGGAACACCTTTCTGTTTCTCCAAAAGTTTCCCCAACACATGCAAACTGTCTTCTATCTTTGGTTTCCCCAAAAGAAAATATATCAAAACTGTGACATTGAGGAGGGAAAGGTTGTTGTACAGAAAAAAATTCTTAATTCAGTGGCATGTTTAAATCATTTGGTTGTCATTCAGAACTATGATCTTTCTGGTAACTGAGTGAATGATCATGAAAACCCTATTTCTTGTGGAACATTTTTATCATGGTAACATTTCATTATGTTTCATTAAACTTCGAACTTATCTTCCTTCCTTCCTTTTCTGTCTCTCCTTTTTTCTTCTTAAGCAAAATAAATATAGGCAAGGAATGGGTGATGAGAAAACATTTTGTAAAGGGCTATATCAATGCATGAGGTTACTTGTGATCTTTTAAAGGAGGTCAAGAAGTGGAAGTGAGGATAAGTACATGTAATCAAGGGTGTGTCTGCAGGGGCCAGTAAGAGCTATAGGCAACAATCTGTGTGCACATTTATTTTATGAAATAGTTTGCAGTGATGTTGCAATGCTTCTGAACATTCCTGGAGGCTATTCCTGAGTTTATAAATTTCATACCTGAAATTCAAATTTTAAATCTTTTGAGAAACATTGGTCAAGCTTAAAATTCATGGCATTTTCATTGGAAAGAAAAATTCTGATCCAAGATTTACTGCCTAAGTGGCTTTCATTACCTTTGTTAGCCTCTGGAAGTCTCAGAGCACTCACCTGTGAAAGAATGAGCTAAAATCTGTTTTCCACGCTTTGCAAGGAGGTTCCACGGAGGTGGTGGGCAGGGAGAATGCGTGTGTGGAAGAGCTGTCATGTAAGGCAGTGGTAGCCAAATAACTACCCAACACTTACTATGGGCCTGACATATTTTAAAATAACCACGCTGAGAGGAAACTATGACTATTCTCTTACTGCTGAAGAAACTGAGTTTGAAGGGTTTAATGAACTTGTTCAAGATCATACAACCAGTAAAGGAAGAATTTGCTATTGAAACCCTAGCAGTCTGACTCCAGGGCCCACATTTCTAACCACTATACTATTCTGCCTTTCTGATAAGGACATGTATACTACTACCTATTTAGTGTTGAAATAGATTTCCAGGCCCCAGATGGAACTTGTGTCAGCAAACTAAAACTTGGATAACTTTTGTGTCCCTGTACATGCTTGGCTTGACCAAAAATGCAGTCTATTCATTCAGCCAATCTCCACATGCCAAGCCAACTCTGGGCCTTCTCAGCCCAAACAAGCCTGACTTCATGACCCCAGCCGATCTGATACTTGCAATTTGCCTTTTCTTCTTTCTTTATTCTTTATCCTTTAAAGGTTTCTTGTCTTCCACCCCCATTTTTCAGTTCTCCAAAAGGAGTCTGTTCTTTTGATGAAATGTTAAATAAGTTTGCTTGTATCACCTAATTGTCTTCTGTTTAACTATGGCAAGTGTTAAATTGGGGATTATGGCCAATGCTTGAAGACAACAAATGTTAGACAACAAATAAATTGCAGGCCCAAGGTGCATTTTTTCCAAAGTAGGTTGTCGACCATGTTTTAGAAATTATAAACCCCTTACCAACATTGGGGTCAAGGGTGGACAGTTGGGGTAGAAAGGAGAGGTTGCAGAGATCTGGGGTCGGGGGAGCCGTTGCCATGGTCTTCTATATCCTTAAGGGGGCTGGGTGGTGCCCAGGCCTTTACCTTAAGCTGGAGACAGATGTAGACAGACTCCTCAGGGAATGCAGGTTAGAGAGATATGGGACTGGCATCCGACTGCTGCTGGGGGAATCTAAAGAACAGAACAACTGGAAGGTAAGACATAGGTTGATGGAGATTGGTGTTATATTGAGATGAGTCAAAACTCAGAATTTGTTTTTCATGGACACAGATGCAGCCCACATGGGAGATGGTGAGCTGTTGGAGCCCTTTGACTTCAAAGCAAGTCAAAGCTCTTTTAGTCCAAAGCAAGAGAATCATTTAGAGGCCAATGAGAGGGCCAGTGGGACCTCCTTGCTCTCCAACCCTGGAGAGAGAAGTAGCAGCAGCTGGCAAATGGTGGCCCAGGTGAATGGGAAAAGAAGGAACTGGCCAATTCACCTTCAATGTTCGCCTGCCACTGGTCCTAGCTGGCAAAGGGGAGATTTAACTACCTAATTAAGACTGCTCTATTTGCAACTGAAATTGCCCCTTAGCTTGAATTCCCTGAATGTGGCCAGAAAACTCAGGGTCTGACGGAACTTTCTTTAATTGAGGACCAAGGAAAACACTTTTGCCAGTGAGCGAGTTTGCAAGGGGAGAGAGACATAAAAAGTCGGGCTTTGATTACATCCCAGGAGCTGTTCTTGCTCAATGGACCTCATATGTGCTAGACAGAGTTCTTTATATTACCTTAATTTATAGAGCTAACTTTCGTAAATGAAAGTGTTTATTATTATAAAAAAAGAAACATTTTACAAAGCTTCACATTTCTTTTACAATAACATAGCCCTGTCTAAATTTCCCCATTGTTATAATGACATGGTATATTAAAGTGGCATAAGATTTTGACAATATGACCTATTTTTTGTGCCTACCACTTTTATGGTCGCTGGATCATTTCTAAAAGACCGTTATCCAAAAACATTGAATAAAACATTCTCCATGTTGAAGCAGGGATTTGAGAGACAAATTCTTTTCATTAGTTTTTAAAGATTTTATTTTTAAGTAATCTCTACACCCAATTTGGGGCTCAAACCTACAACCCCGAGATCAAGAGTCATGTGCACTACTGACTGAGCCAGTCAGGTGTCCTCATATTTCATTATTTTGAATTATATTTCTTCACAACTTCTGTTGGAATACAACTTTCTTTGCTCTTTTTCTGTATTTTATCCTTCCATCCCATATTCAGCTTTGAGGTTTATTGGCTTGTTTTTGCATCCTATAGTGTGGAGGGGATAAAACCAATCTAACACTTTCTGTTGAAGTTAGAATTCATGTCCTATATTCCATAGCATCACATCAAACTAAAAAAATAATGGAAAGAATGATGTGTTTTGGAAATAAGCAGAAGAAAATTTTTAGAAGCAGAAGGAGTACTTATGATGTGCTTAGTAAGGAAAAACTGGTGCATAGTCCTTAACCTTAAGACGTTTACAATTTAGCAAAGGACTAAACATTAAGCATTTCTTAACACAGTGGATTGTACAATAAAAACCGGAGTGAATGAGTGACTCAGTGTACCATGCAGTGTTTACAGGAAGCTCAGGAGCTCAGAGAAAGGAGCAATCATCCATCACAGGGTGAAGCAGAGACAGCTTCAGAAGGAAGTGGGGTTTGGCAATGTAAAAGAAGAAATGTTGTCTAGTCTGGATAATTTGGAGGGTGTGTCTTATTCTGTCTTGCTCACCACTGTCTCCAATGTCTAGAACTGAGCCAACACAGCAGCTACCAGATACATGTGGCTATTTAATGTAAGTTAGAATAAACTAAAATGAAATAAATATTGATTTCCTCAGTCACATTAGCCTACTGGCAAGTAGCCAAGTGTAACCAGTGCCTACCATATGGGACAGTGCAGATAGAGCACATTTCTACCACTGCAGAAATTTCTGTTGGGACCATGCTGATTCAGAATAGTGACTGGCACATAGGAAGTACTCAATAAATACTTAATGAATGAGGGTAAATAAATGAACATTGCTGAACTTGCCTCTTAGAGCCTCCTGTTTTCTCGTCTTACAGATGAAGAAAACAATTAAAAGACTGGGAGGATCAAATGAGATAATGAGGTGAAATTACTTCATGCACTAGAATGACACTAATGTGAATTATTATAATTCAAGCTTCCTGGCACTATGGGTTCCAGAGGGAACCCAGAGGACTTGGCAGCAGGCAAAATGTGTGAAGGGTGCCAAAAGGTACAAATATCCAGTTATAAAATAAATAAGATCCCTCTGGGAACCACCCATCTGTTCTGTAAAAATATGACTGCTTCACAGATTTTTTTGTCATCCTTGGGCAGGGGCCAACCTAATCTTTATATCATGTCAATTCTTAATATATGTGCTGCCAAAAGGAGCACTTAATGATCTAATTCTTAAAGGTTAATTGAGGTCATTTAAGAGCAGATCATTTGACCAGATAGTCCAAGGGAATTTTCTCATTGCTAATTACTGTGTAGGCTGAGTCTGAGGGCCCTTAGATGCCATCCCATTGATATTTGAAAGTTTTCTTGCCTCTGAGCCCACAGCTGTCCCAGGCCAACCTGGTAGCCTTCCTACTCTAAACATGGGTCAACAATTTCTCCAAGCGGTCCTGCTTCTTTGTAGTGAAGAATGTAGAGATCAAGATTGGGACATCAGGGTTTCAGGCCAGATTTGTGATACTGGGTGGTACTGATATTAGAGAGAACTTCAGAGGACAGAGCTGAAAAACAACTTCATTCAGTCATTCTATCCATCTATCTATCTATTCCTCCATCCAGCTATCTAACATTATAGGATTCCTCTTTAAATTCTTTTCTTTTTAATGGTTTTGAAAAAGATTTTATCTAGTTATTTGTCAGAGAGAGAATGAGCCAAGCAGGAACAGCAGCAGGCAGAAGGAGAAGCAGGCTCTCTGCTGAGCAAGGAGCCTGATCTAGGACTCCATCCCAGGACCCTGAGATCATGACCTGAGCTGAAGACAGACACTTAACCGACTGACTAACCCTGACTAACCGACTGACTAACCTCCTCTTTAAATTCTTTGTTTCTATGGTTATACCTTATTTTCACTTATGATGAAATCTTTTTTTAATGGTGAAATCTTCATGCCGAACAAACCCAACACATATATTTGATTTATCCAAACAAAAAAGCTTAAAAATAGCAATCTATTGGTATGAAAACTAAACCACCAAATGAAACTCAAGGTTTTTTTGTTTGTTTGCTTTGCTTTGTTTTATTTTGTAATTCTTTTTTTCCTTAGAATATGTCCCATTAAGTATGGTCTCTAGAGTCACTTGTAATTCCTATTTTGTATGGTTACATAAGAACCAATTTCAATTTGAAGTGTTGATATTTAAAGAGCTATGAGTTCTTAAAAGCTAGCAACTTTTAACTTCTTGTCATTTCTCAGTGGTAATACTGAACTGGTAAAAGAGTATAAAAATTAGTCCTAACTGACTTTATGAAATGAGTGGAAAACACAAGTATTTCAACCACTGGAGTCTGTGTCAAGTTCAATGTAGCCATTATCTGGCCAATTTTCAATGGCTGAATACTTGGCTAGATGTGCAAGGGCTCTAATAAGAAAGTTTTGGCTTTACAAACCCATTCTGCCTAATAGTACTTAATTTCTAGTAGTATTAGAATCTGCATATTTTTATGTGCTTAATTCTACTTTAACTTTATTAAGTTTTCTCTAGTATTTTTTTTCCAGCATTTGTGTCTCATACTATATAAATTCAACTTCCAGATACTAAGTAGAATTTCAGAAATATGTAACTTAGGAATGTCAAGATCAATTTCAATTAAGTAAAATAAAAGAAAGGAGAATATATCAGATATTACACATTTATACTTTAGCCAGGAGTTTATTGTGAAAACCTCTCACCAAACGTACATGGATTTCAGACTACCCAAATTCCATTAGAATCAATTTATAATCACCAGCTTTTAACATTTAGAGAAGTCCAAAGTCTAGTTTGGAAAGAAGAAACCACATTAGATATTGCAACAGAGAATTTAATATGGAGAATTAGTTCGATAGTTCTTGGAGGACTGAAAAGCAGAGAACACTGAGGTAACAGTAATATTAGGACATGGTTATGCTCCTAAGATTCTAGGAATGCAGGGAAATTTTGGGAACTAGAAGGTCAGAAGAGAGGCCCAGTGGAATTGAGACTTAAATCTCTTGGGCAGTGGTCATGCCTCTGAGAGGGATGAAAGGCAGTGTGTAGGAGGGCCAAAAAAGCTGGAGACGGAAACAATAGGGGTCACTGATGCCATTGCTAGGACGACGCTAACAAGATCAGCAAGCGAATATTCTCTCCTCCTTCTGCCTTCCATTTTTTCTCTAGTGCCCCAGTTGGTAGAATTTCATAGGAAGCCAGCTTCAACATCATAATACAGAATATAGAAGGCTGGATTTGGGGTGGAGAAACAATTGTTTAATAATTGGGTTTGGAGCAGATGCACAATAGTCCAATAACCACTGGTACAATTCAAACACACTCTTCTACACATACTTGAATTTCTTTGCTGCAATAGTAGAAACTGTTTTTTCCTGAGAAGATGCAGTGTTCTTTCCCACAGAGATGCTCTTAATCTCTGCACAAAGGGTAGATAGAGCAAGTGCTAACAGTCACTGTATCCATCTCAGGGCAACAATTTCAGTATCTGTCTCTAATTCAGTCTAAGCTCACCTGAAAATTCTGTAACCTAAATTGTAAAGGTAAGCACTTACCAACAATCCTTACATAAAATAACAGGGGAAAAAGAGGAGAAGGGTAACGAAATTAGATGACACAAATATATACAGATAAAACTAAGAAAAAATTGCATAGACCGTATGGTCTTCATTTCTGTTACTTGTCATGAATATAATATTTATTACTTCCTTTCCAAGTACTTGTCACAAATTCACCTTTGTACTGCATCTCAGCTGATCAAGGTTTGTGTGGTGTGTGCGTGTGTTTTTTCCACTAGGTGGGAGTGGGAGTGGGGTGAATCAAACACTTATTCTTGAAGGATGCAAATCATCCCAAATCCTACCTCATGGGATGCCTGGGTGACTCAGTTGGTTAACTGCGTGCCTTTGGCTCAGGTCATGATCCCAGGATCTTGGGATTGACCCTGTGTCTGGCTCTGCTCAGCGGGCAGCCTGCTTTTCCTTCTTTCTCCGCCTGCCCCTCCCCCTCTTATGCTCTTGTGCTCTCTCATTCTCTCTGACAAATAAACAAAATCTTAAAAAAAAAAAAAAACCAACAAACTCCTACCTTAAAAAACTTTTATTGAGGTGTAACATATATATAATGTAATGCACTCATTTGAGTGCATATTGCATTGAGTTTTTTAAAAAAAGATTTTATTTATTCGAGAGAGAGAAAATAGGGGGAGGAACAGAGGGAGAAGCATGTTGAGCAGGAAACCCTAAAAAGGATTCAATCCCAGGAGCCTGAGATCATGACCCGAACCAAAGGCAGATACTTAACCAACTGAGCCACCCAGGTGTCCCATTTCAGTGAGTTTCGATAATACGTATACCTGTATAACCACTATCCGAATCAAGATATAGAATACTTCTATCAATCCCTAATTTCTCTTGTGCCCCTACTGAGGCAATCCCCTCCAATCTCTAGGACAAGATATCCCTATGATTGGTCTTTTCTAGAGTCACATATAAATTGAATCATTTGGGGTGCCTGGGTGGCTCAGTTGGGTGACTTTTGATTTTGGGTCAGGTCATGATCTCAGGGTTGTGAGATTGAGCTCCATGCTGGGCATCGTGTCTGCTTAAGATTCTCTCCCTCTCCCCCTTCCCCGCTGCCAGTGCATGCATGTTTTTTCTCTCTCCCTAACAAAAAAATTTTTAAAAAATTGAATCATAGATATACTCTTCTGCATCTGACTTCTTTTCTTTTGCTCAATAGAATGTTACTGGGAGTCATTCGTGTTGTTGAATACATAGGTAGGTTGTTCTTTTTTTTATTGCTGAGTGGTATTAAAGTGTATGAATATATCAAAATTTGTTATTCTATTCCCCCATTTAAGTTGTTTTTAGTTTTTGGCTATTATGAATAAGGCTGCTAAGAATATATTTTTACACATCTCTGTGTGGATCCTTTTTATTTTCCTTGAGTAATACCTAGGACTGGGATTGCTGAGTAGTGTGGTAAATATGTTTTACTTCACAAGAAATTTCCAGGTTGTTTTCCTAACTTGTTATTCCATTTTGCATTCCCACCAGCAATCTGTGAGAATTCCATTGTTCCACATCCTTACCAATGCAAGTATTTTCAGTGGTTTTGATTTTAGGCATTTTGTGGCTTTAATTTAAATTCCTCTGATGACTTATGATGTTTAACAGGTTTTCACTGCTTATTAACTATTAAATATATCTCCCTTAGAGAACTGTCTCTTCAAATCTTTTGCCCCCTTTTTAATTGGGTTGTTTCTATTTATTTAATCATTTATTTATTTCATTTAATACAAAATACAAACTCTACCATGACAAGTCCCTAGAGGAGCTGGTCCCAGCCTGGCTCTCTCATACTACTTTTTACCTCTTTGCCCACTGTGCTATAGCTATGTCAGCCTTCTGTTTGATTCTCACATCTGGCAAGCTCACTGCTGATCTTTATGTTACCGAATCCTTCTCATCAATTAGTCTGCAGCTAAAAAAATCATATTCTCCGAGAAGATTTCTATTCACTTTAAAGCAGCACCTCTGTGGTCTCCTTCTGGATGCTCACTATCCCATTACCTCTTTCCAGTTACTCAACAGAGACTACCAAGCTCTGAAATTATCTTATCCATTTACTTATTTCTTGCTGACTTCCACATACACACTCCATGAAAGCAGGATCTTGTCAAACTAATTCTTTTCACCTAGCAAAGTGACTGTCATAGGGTGGGGGCCCAACGCAAGTATATATTGGCTGAATGAATGAAGTCAAACTCTCACTATTTGCAGATGACATGATACTCTATGTAGAAAGCCCAAAACACTCCACCCAAAAAATTGCTAGAACTAATACATGAATTCAGCAAAGTCACACAATATAAAATAAATGTACAGAAATCTGTTCCATTCCTATATATCAATAACAAAATGGAGGAAAAAGAAATCAAGGAATTGATCCCATTTGCAATTGCAGCAAAAACAATAAGATACCTAGGAATAAACCTAACCAAAATGGTGAAAGAGCTATACTCTGAAAACTATCAAACACTGATGAAAGAAACTGAAGAGGATACAAAGAAATGGAAAGATATTCCATCCTATGAGTTGGAAGAACAAATATTGTGAAAATATCTATACTACTCAAAGCAATCTATACATTTAATGCAATCCCTATCAAAATACCAACAGCATTTTTTACAGAACAAGAACAAACAATCCCAAAATTTGTATGGAAGCACAAAGGACTTCTAATAGCCAAAGCAATCCTGAGAAAGAGAAACAAAATGAGAGGCATTATGACTCTGAATTTCAAGCTGTATTACAAAGCTGTAGTCATCAAGACAATATGGTCCTGGCATAAAAACAGACACATAGATCAATGGAACAGAATAGAGAACCTAGAAATGGATCCACAACTCTTTGGTCAACTAATCTTCAACAAAGTAGGAAAGAATATCCAATGGAGAAAAAGAGAGTCTCTTCAACAAATGGTTTTGGGAAAACAAGACAGCCACATGCAGAAGACTGAAACTGGACCATTTCCTTACACCACACACAAAAATAAATTCAAAATGGAAGAAATACCTAAATGCAAGACAGGAAACCATCAAAATCCTAGGGGAGAACACAGGCAGCAACCTCTTTGACCTTGGCCATAGCAACTTCTTGCTAGACACATCTCCAAAAGCAAGGGAAACAAAAGCAAAAATGAACTATTGGGACTTCATCAAGATAAAAACCTTCTGTACAGTAATAGAAACAATCAACAGAACTAAAAGGCAGCCTATAGAATGGGAGAAGATATTTGCAAATGACATAACTGATAAAGGATTAGTATCCAAAATCTATGAAGAACTTATCAAACTCAATACCCCCCAAAAAATCCAGTTAAGAAATGGGCAGAAGACATGAATAGACACTTTTCTAAAGAAGACATACAAATGGTTAACAGATGCATGAAAAGATGTTCAACATCACTCATCATCAGGGAAATACAAATCAAAACCATCCTGAGATACCATCTCACACCTTCAGAATGCCTAACATTAATAACATCAGAACAACAGATGTTGGCAAGGATGTGGAGGGAGGGGAACACTCTTGCACTGTTGGTGGGAATGCATACTGGTGCAGCCACTCTGGAATATAGTATGGAGATTCCTCAAACAGTTAAAAATAAAACTACCCCACAATACAGCAATTGCATTACTAAGTATTTACCCAAAGGATACAAAAATGCAGATTTGAAGGAGTACATGCACCCTGATGTTTATAGCAGCACTATCAACAATAGCCAAACTACAGAGAGAGCCCAAATATCCATTGACTGATGAATGGATAAAGAAGATGTGATTGTATATATATATTTCTCAGCCATCAAAAAGAGAGCGAGGGAAACAAACCATAAAGAGATTCTTAACTCTAGCGAACAAACTGAAGGATGATGGAGGGAGGAGGGTGAAGGATGGGCTAGAGGGGTGATGGGTATTAAAGAGGACACTTTTTTAATGAACACTGGGTGTTGTATGTAACACTCAATTCTACTCCTGAAACCAATATTGTACTGTATGTTAACTAACTAGAATTTAAATAAAAATTTGAAAAAAATTTTGAAAAAAATATATCTTTCGGCTATTTAAAAAGTTGTGATAATGTATATACAACATAAAACTTGTCGCTGTTTTAAAAAATTAAATTTAAAAGCTGTTTTAAAAATTATTGTTGAGTTTGAGAACTCTTTCTACATTTTGCAAACAAGGCCTGTAATATATACCTAATTGAAAATATTCCCTCCCCCCCCCCAGTTTGTGGCTTATCTTTTCATTTTCTCGATATTGTCTTGAAAAAGCATAAGTTCTTAATTTTGATGAAGTCTAATTTATCAACTTTTTATTTGCTGTTAAAGTTTTTGTGGCACACCTAAGAATCTCTGCCTAACTCAAGGTCACAAAGTTTTCTCCTATGTTTTCTTTTAGATGTTTGTGGTTTTAGTTTTCACATGAATGGATGATAGTGTTTTTATATATGGTAGGGGGCTATTATTATCATTACTTATGCATATCCAATTGTTCTAGCATCATTTGTTGAAAAGATTATCCTTCGTCATTGAATTGCCTCTATACCTTTGTTGAAAATCAGTAGACTGTGGGGGCACCTGGGTGGCTCAGTGGGTTAAGCCTCTGCCTTTGGCTCAGGTCATGATCTCAGGGTCCTGAGATCGAGCCCCGCATCAGACTCCCTGCTCGGTGGGAGCCTGCTTCCCCCTCTCTCTCTGCCTGACTCTCTGCCTACTTGTGATCTCTCTCTGTCAAATAAATAAATAAAAAAAAGAAAAAAGAAAATCAGTAGACTGTGTATATTTATGGATGGGATCACAATCCCAGACTCCCTCTTCTATAATATCTGAGGCCATTTTTTCCCATATTTGGGGGGTGGTGATGTTTTGCTTGTTTAAGGCAGGACTGTAAGTCTGGTTTCTATTATTCCATCTGGACCAGAAGCACAAGCCCTCTGTACCATAATCTTTAAAACTGTTTCTTATTGATATATAGTCATCATGATTTCAATGCCTATTTTAACACTATATTAAGATTCTATATATTTTAATATTTTTATTCTATTTTATTTCTATTCTGAAATAAGCCATTTTGTCTCTCTTCATGTCCACTTGTATTTCTATATAACGGATCTGTAGGACTGCAATTGCAAATCTAAAGTACATACTTTTAAAATTTTGGTATGTCAAGAACTGTGAGGGGTCTGAGATTTTCATCTTATTACAAACTAATGAATTAGCTTGCTGCAGTTTTGTGGAAGCTGACAGGAGACACGAGATTCCTGGATTAGAGATGAAAGACCATGTTACTCACAGCAAAAGCAATGGCCAGAGTGTGAGCATATTTACCTCAGTTCTTGGAGCCCCAATTTCCACAGGGTTAGACAGAGGGCCAGATGACTGAACATTTGCAAGGGACCAAGGGACTGGCACTTGTTTAGCTTAGAGCTGACACTGTGGTGAGCAGCAAACAAGCCAGTCCCCTTCTACCCCAGAAGGGACCAGTTACAGGATACTCACTTTGTCGGAGCCTTGATTATTTAGCTTTCTCGGTGCATAGCTACAGAAACTGCTTAGCATCAGGAGATGGGTAAGTCTTGCAGTCTGCTCTACTCAGCAAGAAAGTGCAGGAATGCCCAGGACTCATGGCTGACTGCTCTTTCAACAACACTTTTTCTCCACAAAGGAGAATATGCCAATCTAAGCCTGCATTCAGTTGAGTATTAAGGGGTTGTATGTCTGAAACACTTCATTCCCAATATGGCTATTTTATCAATCTTTGTAATTTTAGCTGTTTTGGTGGGTGAAAGAGGAGTTATCTATTTTGTATTACTTTTCATTTATCTTAAGCGAGTTGAGCTCTTTGTTTCAGATGTCTATTGAAACTTTGTGAAATTGTTTTTTAAAGCCTACCCCTCCCTCTGACAATCCTCCTTCCATGTTCTGACTGGAAAAAAACAAAGGAAGAGCTCCATTTGTCATCTGAGTAGGTCAGTGATACTCGTGTTTTCAGCTCGAGCACTCTCTAATCCTCATGAATTGGATGACTGTGGTATTTCCCTTCAGCTTGTGCTGTGTGGACACAAACTGTCATGAGATGTATGATGCTCTTTCCCTTTGGTCTGTTTATTTGCTCTTTGGTATTTCCTTTCTGTCATACATAAACCTACTCGGCCTCTGGAAGAAGGAAGTGCAGTTCAAATAATTCCCATTCCTCACAGTCCCCTTAGCACAGTATAGTGGGATCAAACACGTCTTCCAGTTTCACAGATACATACATTTAGAGCTTTCCTGGTTTCCCAAAGTTCTTGGGTCTCAGTTCTCATCTGTGGAGGATGGCAGCGAGGATCTTTCTAGAAACGAATTATGAGCGTAAACTCAGCAGTAACCGCCCTCAGTATAAAGACCCGAACTGGTATGTTTTGAAGAGGTGCTAATATTTTCAAAGAGGAAGTTCTACTGCTAGTTTCTTTGGGGGTACTTTAGTGGTCAAGCCTTGTGCCGGCCTGGCCTGGAGGTGCCCCTTCTATGTACACTGATTTTAGGGTGCACAGCTGGAAACTAAAATATGAAAAAATGAATTGCTGGAGTCTGAAAGGTTGGGTCTTCGCGCTTTCCATCCAGCTTTCCCCCCAGAAGGTCCTCCCCCGGGTCAACCCCGCCTGCGTCCCTTTGCTGCGGTTCTGTCCGGGTGGAGGCTCCGCCTGCTCCGCACCCAATGGGGACTGAGGCGGCAGGCCCGCCCCACCCCTCCGAACCCGGCCTTCCTGGAGCCTATCCCGGCCCGCGCGCCCGCCCCGGCTCGGGTGCCAAGCCAATAGGCATGGGTCACGCCCCGCCCCGCGCGGAGTTCTGGCGCCGCGCGCGGCGCGGGAGAGCCCTGTAACCCACAGCTCTTCGCACTTGCGGTGCGGTCCCTGGCCAGCTTGGCGTCGGGCCATGGCGTCCCCAGCGGCCGGCGAGGTGGCGATCATTGGCAGGTAAACGGCCCCGACCCACTGACCCACCGCGCTCTTGCCACGGCGCTGGAGGAGACCCGGGCCCATGGTGCGCCAGAACGTGGGGCCCGTGTGTCGCCGCCTCGGCTTGGGCGCCCAGGTCGCTGTCAGGTTTCAGAGGTGGAAACGGCATGGTGAAACGCCAGTCTTCAACCCTCGAGGGTTCCGTGTGCCCTTGCAGCCCTCTGTGAAAGTGGCCAGGCCTGTAGGAGCGCCCGGTGGCGGCGTGGCTTTGCAGGTTGGAGCACGCAGTAGAGTGCGGTTTTGTTTCATTTCGTGCTGTCTTACCAGCAAGGTTCAGAAAGTCGACAGCGCAGGCTGCGGTGGAAATGCGGTTTGTGCAATTAGTTGAGTGATGCCAGGCCTACCAGCAAATACAAAAGACGTGCTAGGCGTTGGGTGAAAGGAAGTCTGGCAAAGATTCTGCAGAATCGTATTCTTAACTATTCCCACTTTATGGGTGAAAAAGCAGATTATGCAGTTTGCCCCTGGTCACAGTAAGTGGCCACGATGGGACTAAGCCAGTAATGAGGGTCCTTTGGCAATCCATGGACAGGGCTGCCTCAGGGCGTGAGGATGTGTATGTTCTTGTCCCCAGGGGTGTCCCTGGGCGGCAACAGGTGCCTGGAAAACACATAGGGGCAATCCTAATTCATTCCTGATTCGTGGAGAAAGTGCCGCTTCCGGAGGGTAACGCTGGAGCCCAGAGTTTGCTAGCCTGTGTCGGTTTAGTAGCCTAAATTCTTTCCAATTTTTTCTGGTTTGTTCCCCCACCTGGTCTTTTATAACTTCTGCTATTTTCATTAAAGAAAAAAAAAAAAAAGGTTGCATTGATAGGCTATCATAGCAATCTACAGACATAATACTTGCTATTTTAGTTAGAAGCACCTTTTTGGGGGTGGCTTTGTGTCTCTTTATGCCACTGAGGTGTTGGCCTGCCTCACCTGCCCACCAGCGACAATTCCAGTGTCAGGATTTTTCCTTTAGAACTTATTGAAAAAAGGAATCAGGGTGCTTTTGTCAGCTTCCTTTTGGTCACAGAACAGTGCAATTAACTGAGCCTTTGACCTTTACAGGCATGTGGATGTGTGTAGCTGCCTGGTGAAGGAATATAAAAGTATATTTTAAAAGCGTACTTTGTATTGGGCACAGTGACTATGCTTGACTTGCATTTCAGTTGTCCAGGGTCGAGGGTTGGAGTTTTGTATATCTCACACCATGAGTTGGAGTGTTATTCTGCTTTCACCGAATAACTGTTAGGTGGAGTTTGGAATTGACTGTGCCTATCTGGCTCTGGTTCTTTCATGAGGAGAACAGTGTTTCAAGAGGGTGCTGGTATTAGTATACAGGTATTAGTGAGTCAGTTTATTTCTGATTCCCTTGAGGTAGGTTGATAAGGAATTAGACGAGGGCTGGCAAACTTTAATGACTGCAGGAACTGACACAGGATAGAAAGCCCTTCCTGTCTATCCTATACCCTCAGCACCTCAGAAAATACCTGTCTCTGCTTCTGGAGTAGTGCTGCTTTCCTTCCCTTCATTCCTCTCCCTTTCCTCTCTGTTCTTCCCCCTCCCGTCTCCCCTTACTCACTTCCTCTGTCTTCCCACTCTTCACACCTCCCCTTTCTCTCTGTCTCGCTCTCTCTTCCGGCCTCATGGGTGATTCCAAGGAACATCGGTTTACAAAATGGGACCGGGGAGTGTAAATTAATTCCCTAAAACCTGGTTGAGTTTAATTTTTGGATTTCAACAGACCAAATATACGTATTTAATTTCAGGGACATATTGGACCATTGATTTTCCATCTTTTCCTAGTAATTACCAGATTCCCTCATAAAAGTACTTGCTAGAAATACAGTCTCTATTTAATTCTTTTCCATTGATTTTTTTCATAAAGAACACTCTTTTTTTTAAAAGGTATTTACATATTTGAGAGAGGGAGAAAACATGAGCAGGGTAAGTGGAGGGCTCCCTGCAGAGCAAGGAACCCTACTCGGGGCTCAATTCCAGAGCCCCAAGATCACAACTGAGACAACCAGGTGCCCCCATAAAGGACACCATTCATCATGGCCACTTAGCTTTCCTGTGAACATCCAAGGCAAGTCCCTTCAGACAGGTAGGCTTGACAGAATAGGAGTGTCTGAAGAATTAAGAAAGAAGAGAAAAGCCTCTTGGCTGTGGGAACATGAAGAAAGAGGAAATATGGTAATGGCAACTTTAAAAAATGGGAGTAAAAGTGGGTTTCCTGAAGGCATTTGAGTGATGTTGTATTTGAGTGGTGTTGTCAAGCTTTCATATCTTTTAGCCCTAGAAGTCTGCAGGGGAACTTACCTTCACATAATACTATATTTCTGAATAACTGAAGTATGAATTTTATATTCACATACATGCTGCATTGTGTTTACCCAAATTTTAGGCCTTGAGCTTGTTTTAAAATACCGATCTGGGGGAGAAGACCAACATTGTCATGTTCCTGGGCCTCAAGTGTGCTTTTTCTCCCGTGCCTCTCTCTCTTTTCACTGAGCACACTTATTTAGGACTGAGCTCAGCGGCCCATCTCCTTCCGGAAAAGTTCTGATTCCAGGGCCTTCCCCTTAGGGTACAAACTATCATTACCAGCTGTGTAGCCATCATGCCTGGTCCTAGTAGACTGATGTTTGAGCTTTTATAACAGAGATTGCTTTTTTTTTTTTCCTTTTCTGATACACAGTGTGAAGGGCTTGTTAGGATATTGGGTTTCTTCCCTGTTTTTTTTTTTTTTTAATTGAGGTAAAATTGGTATATAACATTATATAAGCTTCAGGTATACAACATTATAATTTGTTATTTGTATACACTGCAAAGTGATCACCACAAATCTAGTTACCATTCGTCATTATACAGCTGACCCCCTTTCCCAATTTTGCTCACCTGAATCCCTGGTTCTCTAAGAGTTGAGATTAGTTTAGTTTGTTTTGTTTTTTAGATTTTACATATAAGTGAAATCATATAGTATTTGTCTTTGTCCAGCTTGTTTCACTCAATATAATACCTTCAAGTTCTGTCCATGTTGTCACAGATGGCAAAATCTTTCTTTTTTATGGCTGAATAGTATACGTGTGTGTGTGTGTACCATGTCTTCTTTATCGATTTATTCATAGGTAGACACTTAGGTTGTTTTCATATCTTGGCTATTGTAAGTATTGCTTCAGTGAACATAGGGGTGTATATATCTCTTCAAATTAGTGTTTTTTGTATTCTTTCGGTAAGTAACCAAACCTTGAAATAGTTGGATTGTATGATATTTCTATTTTTAATTTTTTGAGTAATCTCCATACAGTTGTCCGGAGAGGCTGTACTAATTTATATTCCCACCAATAGTGTAACATAGGTTCCCTTCTCTCCACATTCTTGCCAACACTTGATGTTTCTTGAGTTTTGATTTTAGCCATTCTGACAGGTTTAAGGTGATATCTCATTGTGTGTGTGTTTTTTTTTTTTAAGATTTTATTTATTTATTTGACAGAGGCAGATCACAAGTAGGCAGAGAAGCAGGCAGAGAGAGAGAGAGGAGGAAGCAGGCTCCCCACTGAGCAGAGAGCCCGATGCGGGGCTCCAACCCAGGACCCCGGGATCAAGACCTGAGCCAAAAGCAGAGGCTCTAACCCACTGAGCCAGCCAGGTGCCCCTCTCATTGTGTTTTTAATTTGCATTTCCCTGATAGTGATATTGAACATCTTCTCATGTGTCTGTTGGCCATTTGCATGTTTTCTTTGGAAAATGTATATTTAGATCCTCTGCCCATTTTTTTTTAAAGATTTTATTTATTTATTTGACAGACAGAGATTACAAGTAGGCAGAGAGGGAGGCAGAGAGAGAGGAGGAAGCAGGCTCCCTGCTGAGCAAAGAGCCGATGTGGGCTCGATCCCAGGACCCCTGGAATCATGACCTGAGCTGAAGGCAGAGGCTTTAACCCACTGAGCCACCCAGGCGCCCCGCTCTGCCCATTTTTTAATTGAGTTGTTTTTTGTTATTGAGTTGTAGATTTTTATATATTTTGGATATTCACCCCTTATTGGATATATCATTTGCAAGTGTCTTCTGGCATTTGGTAGGTGTCTTGTCATTTTCTTGATGGTTTCCTTTGCTGTGCAGAATCTTTTTTAGTTTGATGTAGTCCCACTTGTTTCTTTTTGCTTTTGTTTCCCTTGCCTTTGGCTTCAGCTCCAAAAAAAGACATTGCTAAGACTATGTCAGGGAACTTACCACCTAGGTTTTCTTCTAGGAATTTTGTAGTGTAAGGTCTTAAATTCAAGTCTTTAATTCATTTTGAGGTAATTTTTGTGTATGAGATAGTGGTCCGTCTTCATTCTTTTGCATGTGGCTATCCATTTTTCCCAATGCTATTGAAGAGACAGTCCTTTCCCAATTGTATATTCTTGACTCTGTTGTCATAAATTAATTGATCAGATATGTATGGGTTTATTTCTAGACTCAATTCTGTTCTATTGACCTGCATGTCTTTTTTTTTTTTTTTTTTTTTTTTTTTTTTTTTTTTTGCCAATACTGTAGTGTTTCGGTTACTATAGCTTTATACTATAGGATGAAACCAGGGAGCATGATACCTCTGGCTTTGTTCTTTCTCAAGATCCCTTTAGCTTTTTTAGAATTATTGTTATAGTTCTATGAAAAACCCCATTGGGCTTTTGATAAGATTGCCTTGGATTTGTAGTTTGTTTTGGGTAGTGGGGACATTTTAACAACGTTAATTCTTTTAATCCATGAGCATGGAATATCTTTCCATTCATCTGTGTATTCTTTAATTTCTTTCATCACTGTCTTAAAGTTCTATTAAAGTATATTGAAGTACACAGGTCTTTCACCACCTTGGTTAAATTTATTCCTAGGTATTTTATTCTTTTTTGTTGCAATTGTAAATGAGATTAAGAAAATAACTTCTCACAGCACCCAACCACCCTCTCCCTCCTCGCTCCCGCTGGCAAC